TATCAATGATACAAAAGAGAAAACAAAAGAAGAAAGAACAGAACATTTGCAACTTCAAGATGAATTGGTTGAACATTGAAATGGTCAAATTGAGTGCATATTTAGTGTCTAACAAGACAACACTGAAATTTGATTTGGATAACAACGACCCACAGAAAGTCGACAGTGAAACACGAGATTTGATATGTATTAAAAATGTGTCTAAAAGTAACTTGAAAGTTCAATTCAGTGTGTTTGAAGAATGTGACTACTTTGAAATACGATGTGCACCACCACTTATGACACTGAAGCCTGGATATGCTTGCGAGTTTGAGATATTTATCAAGCCGTTGTGTTCTTGTGTCACAAAAGAAAGTGTGGCGATCACTTCATTAAATATAGCAACTAGTGTCATTGAAAACGCCAAAGTTGAAATAGAAATCGAGACGGAACAAACAACTAAATTGAATTACAGAAAAATTATCAAAGATGAGAAGCTTGGTGAAGGCAGTTTTGGAATTGTCAACAAAGGAAGTTATAGAGGCGTCTGTGTCGCAATCAAAAAGATGAAATAATTGAATTTTAATGAAAGTGGACTTGCAAAGTTTGAAAGGGAAGTATCAATGCTTGACAAGTTCCGATGTGATTACATCATACACTTCTATGGCGCTGTATTTATACCAGTAAGGTGTGTATGGTCACTGAATTTGCATCATTTGGATCAATTCAAAATTTGATTAAGCACAAAAAGAGAAATGAAGTTGATATGAAGTTGGAATTAAATACTTACTTGACGCGACAAAAGATATTCAATATTTACACAAGAATGGGATTTTAATATCTCAGTGAATATTATTATCATCTGAATATTAATTTCACTAAAATCTCAAGAAAAAATAGCCAAGTAGTTAAAATGTGTTTTTTCTTTTTGTTTTTACATATTGCAAAAAAATACATCCACATTTTTTATATTTTACATATAAAACTGAAAAAACAAAGCTTTAACGTGTTTATATGTTTTTTTAACAAGTTAGATTTATTTCTTTATCCATAAAATATATTTAAAATTATAACATTTTAATAATTTAAAACTAAATATAATAGCTATTATACAGCTTTTGTCTAACCATGATAACAGGGTCGGCCAAGATCCAGTTTTTAAACAACTTCGTGGCAATCTCTAATACGTGTCAGTTCATTTTAAGTTTTGGCATATTGTCAACAAAAAACTTAAAAAGTTTTTTAGAGTTAAAATGTTTTTAAAAATTGGTAAAACTATAGTTAACGATTTAAACAAAATTTCTGTATTGTTTAAATCATCATTACAATGTGTTATAATCCAGTTTTAAAGAACAAAAATTAAACAGTAAAAAGCATATGATATTATGGGATGCAGAGTTTTTACAATCAAATAATAATATTCACTCATTATAATTGTAATATACACAAAAGATACTTACAACCAATAAAATTTATTAGAAATAATTTTAGTGATTTCAACATAAAAATTTTATTTTAACAATTAATATACCTTTTCAACATACACATTTTTATTAAATGTATATATATGTGTATATTTGTCAGTTTAACAAAGGTTTTGAATAGTTCATTCGTGTCTTTTTTAAATTAAAGTATAAATTAAATAAATAAATAAAAATAATTTTATTATCTTTTGCAATTATACAAAACAAACAATGTATTTTTTGAATTGAATAAACCATATTACTTTCAAAACAGTTAAACTTATCTTTAGTTAATTTTCTTGATAAAAACGATAATTCAATATAGGATATAAATCAGTCAAAATAATAATTATCACCCAAATAAAAAACAAATATCGCAGCAACTTTAAATAAGTTTTATTTACACGTATTATTTACAATTGAAAGGTTTTAACGTACAATTATATTAACACAAAGATATATGTATATTGTTGTATTCTAAAGTAATTTGAAAATAATTTTGTGTCTAATATAAATTATCGTTTTATTTTTATTCATTTTATCATATGGTATAAATAATTGTGTTTTGTCATTTTCATTTTGTTTTTCAAAAATGATAATGTTATTTACCATTTTAATGTTTTTTAAGTTTTTTTTCAATAACATGATCGTTTGGCCGACCCTGTCATAATATCTTAGTTGTACGATTCATTTCGATATCAATTTGAGTGTTATTTCGAATCGTCAAAATAATAATATTATTAAATAATATTACAGTAAACCAGTTAAAGAATTATTCAAATTAAATTCGTTTTTTTAGTTGAAAACAAAAAAAATTACTAAATTTTTAATGATAGTTGAATTATGTATATGTTTTTATTAATCGAATTAACAAGTGGACAAGAGTGCCAATGCTACCCAGTTGGAACAAAATCAAGCGACGTGTTTTCACCTGCGGGTTGTGAAAATACAGAGACGCACTCCTATTGTTTTGAAAATAATTTTTATTATGACACAAATTCAATTTTTAATGAAACTATAATTAAGAAAACTCTTACAATAAATTCAACTGTTGGTTTTAAAATATCAAATTATTTTCGATTAGTTGACAACGTCGTTCTCACACAAAATGGCGCATTTCATATTGTCAATGGAACGATTATTGGAGCAAACTCACAGCTTCTTGTCAACACTTTTTATTCACTTGCTGGGTATATCCAATTAGAAAATCCTCAATTAAATCGTCCACAAATAATTCTTTGGAATTCTTCATATCTTCATTTAAACAGGAACATCACGAATAGAGTCGATTTCAAATCAAAAACCCCACTGGCAACACAAAGTGCTTTGACGCGTTTTCTCTGAATAATGGCAACGATTTAAATATCAATAAAGTCGATAACATCTGCATTTTGTCAACAATGTTTCCTTACAAATTTGATGATGGAATTGGCTATCTTATATCAAATCAAAGACTCATTAGATTTTGCCCGAAAGGTACTAATTTATCAAATACAGTGACGTGCACGCTGGTTAACAGATTATATACTGATTCAAACTATTCCCCAAATTATTCACCACAAACATTTGACTATCCACACTGTCCGTGTAATAGTGATAAGACTTTAAATTGTGAATTGAAATTGTTTGGACAAATTAGTTCTTTTGAATTTAATATGAAAATATTAGACAACACCCATATATTCGTCGAAAAAAACGTCTTACTTGCTAATTTAAAAAATCCAAAAAAATTACAATTGCAGACGACGTGATTCTGAATTTTTATGGTAGAATGACAAATTCAGTGTTAACTTACTCTTTTGGAGATATCAAATTTGATGCTGAACAAATACCTTTTACAACTCCTTGTTCAGTCAAATTTGACACTTCAACGAACACATTTTCATGTAACAATGATATGATCTTTTCGGTCAATTTTACTAAGAAAGTTGAGAACTTTGTGATTAACAGTTCCTCAAAAATCGCTTCACTGAATTTGTTTTCAAATTCTTCGGTGTTTATATTGGGGAAAACTAAACTTAACAATATCATGCCAATGTATTTTGGGGAGTTTGATCGAAGCTATGTTATAATGATTGATGGAACATTAAACAGCAACAATTGTATACTTCTTGAAATAACAAAAGAAAAAACAACATGCAAATTGTGTAATTCTGATTACCGACTTTACGATGGGACGTGTATTATAAAAGAAAGTAATTGTGTAAATTATAACAAGAATAGTATTTGTGTATCATGTTCTAGTGGATATGTGTTAGACGACAATTATAATTGTATTTTATCAGAAAAGTGTGAGTATGGAACGACATCTAATTGTTACAAATGTTCGAATACATATATAAGAGAAGACAACAATTGTATTTTAAATCACAATTGTATCTATGGAGATGGGACTGTTTGTATTAAATGTGAAACTGGTGAGTCTCATAGTAAATGTGAGAATTGTGCAAATACAAATTGTCTTAAATGTAACAGTGATGTTTGTAGACTTTGTCAGACTGGATATGTTCTGAATGATACAAAAAATTGTGTAAAAGAAAGCTTAGGATTTTCATACGGAATATCAACTGTTTATTGTAACAACAAGTTTTATATGGAAAATTTTAAATGTAGAAATTGTTTAACAAAACATGAAAATTCAATTCTTTGCAACACAAATATTTCTTTGCGATGTGATGACAATTTTATTATCACAGAAGACGGAAATTGTATAACCAAAAATTGCAAAGTCAATGAAATAAATGAAGAAAATGGGCAATGTACTTTACCACAAGAAAAGTGTCTTTCTATAGTTAATAACAAGTGTATAGAATGTGATAGTAATTATATATTAACAAACACTTTTACATGTGAAATAATGAATGCAACAAATTCAATTGAAAATTGCAAACAAAATAATCAAATGGGGTGTATAGAGTGCGACTTTGGATATTACTTATCACATGGTCTTTGTTTTTCATGTTCTGAAAATTGCACAAGTTGTATAGAAACATCGACAAAATGTCTTTCATGTGAAATTGACTATTATCAAGGTGACAATTATAAGTGTCTTCCAAACGGTGAGTTAACAGAAAAATGTGATAAGATATCTACTGTCACAACCAGGCGTATTATTTTTTTGCCTCGTTTTTGTTTTAAAAAACAGAGGGCTGGTGTTAATTTTTTCCCAAAAACATATTTTTAAAAGAAAAAACATTCTATAAAATAAGACTGAAACATTTTTGGGATTCGGCATTCACTCTGTAAATTTTGGTAAACGCCTGGTTGTGTCTACTGTCATAAATGGGTGTTATCAATGCAAAAACAAGTATTATCGAGTCGGTTTGGACTGTCTTTCATGTCTTTTAAACTGTTCAACATGTAATACCAAAGACAAATGTTTGAGTTGCAATGACACAAATTATAAGAATAACATTGGCTTATGTCTTCCACAAAGTTCAATAACAGGATGTGCCGTCAACACAACACAATTTGGATGTTCCAAATGTCAAGATGAGTTTTTAACATCAAATTTATATGAATGTGAAAAATGCAATGAAAATTGCACGAAATGTACTTCTCAAAATCAGTGCACTTCTTGTGTTAATAACAAGATTTTATTTGAAAATGGACTTTGTTTTGATATTTCTTTTGTTAAAAAGTGCACTGAAATTTTCAATTCAAAATGCTCCAAATGTGCATTTTGGTATTCTCCAACTAATTCTGGAACTTCATGTAACAAGAAAGTGGTGTGGTGGGTCATTTTGATAGTTATTATATTAATACTTATAGTTATTAGTATAGTTGTTCTAATAATATATTTTATTGTTTCAAAAATACAACGAAAATGCCTACAAAGAGAAACAAAAAAGACAACAACACTTTTTAAAATGAGTCGTTCGAATATCAGTTTTATTTCACTTGGCAATGGAATTGTTGTGAATAAAAAAGAAATTGATTTTGGTGATGACATTGCAGTCAATGAAAAACAGAGAGAACTTCTGTGTGTTGGGAACACCACAAAATATAACACAAAAATACAAATCACAACAAAAAGTGAAAATGTCACAAAATACAAATTTGAAACGCAACCAAATGTCATTGTCCTTGGCAAAGACGACGCCTGTGAATTTGAAATTTTTATTGAATTGAAATGCACAACAAAGTTGAATGAACGTCTAATGTTAGTCGCAAAAATGGGTGTAACTCACAAAAACCTTATTAAGGAAGTTAAAATCAAAGCAACTTCAAAATTGTCGACTCGACTGGACCCAGACGAACTGACTGAGGAAAAAATTCTTGGCGAAGGGTCGTTTGGTGTTGTGTATAAAGGTGTTTTTAGAGGCAATAAAGTTGCTATTAAAAAGATGAAGAACAGTGAAGATATGAATGAAGAAAATGATGAATTTACAAAGGAAGTAGCTATGTTGGATAAATTCAGAAGTGAATATATTGTTTATTTTTATGGCGCTGTGTTTATACCAAGTAAGGTGTGTATGGTCACTGAATATGCACCATTTGGCAGTTTACAAGACTTAATGAAACACAAAACAAGTGACGAAATTGACATTAAAATACGAATTAAAATGATGACAGATGCAGCAAAGGGAATATCATATTTGCATGAAAATGGGATATTACACAGAGACATTAAACCAGACAATTTGCTTGTGTTTTTACTTGACTTGAATGATAAAGTCAATGCTAAGTTGACTGACTTTGGAAGTGCGAGAAATGTGAATTTAATGATGACTAACATGACATTCACAAAGGGAATTGGAACTCCAGTTTACATGGCGCTTGAAGTGTTGAATAGAGAGAAATACACAAAAAGCGCAGATGTCTATTCGTTTGGAGTAACTATGTATGAAGTGTTCGGATGGGCAGAAGCATATCCGATAAATACATTTAAATTTCCATGGAAAATAGCAGAGTATGTGACAGCAGGAAAACGCCCCGAAAAAAGAAAAAATATTCCAGATGTGTGGTTCGAATTTATTAAAATGTGTTGGAAACAAAATCCAAAGGAAAGAAATTCGATTACCAAAGTTGTTGAGTGCATTCAAAATATTGAATAAGTAAACACAACTTATATTTTTTGTTTTATTTTATGATAGATTCAGTCTTTTAACGATATCTGGTGGACAAAAAATAGCTCTAATTTTGTCTAAACAACGCACATTAGGTAAAACATGAAAAAAACCTAAAACAATTGGGATGGATTTTTTGGACGGATTCCCGAAATATTCCAATCTTTATGGTCCAAAAGAAACTCTATAACGTTTAAAGATAGACTGTATAAAACTTAGTGTATGACTGTTAATTGTATGAATATTTACTGGTGGTCTATACCTTCATACAAATTAAGTATTTAATTAACACCAGAAACTTAATGGGTGCCAAGAAAATTGTCGATTAATTGATGTAAACATACTAGTTTTAAATTTTTATTTGTTTTTTTTCTTGAAAAAATAATATAAAAATTAGTTCCAAAATCATTTTATTTCTTCAAATAATTCTGGCTACTAATAAGTTTTTAGCATCCAGCCAACACTCAATATGTATATTAAAATAATTATTATATTATTTGTTCTATTATTGACAATTGTTATTGAATAAAAATAACAAACAATTACCGGTGATGTTTAACAATATTATTTTAACATTGTAATATCAAAATTAAACAGAACAACTCTGTGATTAATTATCAAAAAAATGACAATAAAAACGTATATTAAATATGATAAAAGTTGTTTAATTCAACTTGCAAAATATTAATATGTAAATGTACACAAGAATAAATAATTTATTAACACTACACTAAAGTGCAACATTTAATTTATTTATTTTGATTAAAATATAAATGTATTTGCTCTCGTTTGAATTTAACAAAACATTTAATAATTTACTTATTCTATTGACTTTATTTTAATAATATCAAAACATTATGATAATTTGTTTGTTTTAAACAATGGAATTTACTCACAAAAATTTATACATTTATAATAATAGAAATTAAAAATGTCGCAGATATAAAAAGTTCAAAAATAATTTGTTTGTATTTCCTTACTATAGCATTTAATAATTCAAATAATATTTCAGACTATTAATGATATATTTATTTTTCGTACATTTAATTTGTGTGCTATCAGCAGACTTTACTCTCCCAATACGAGAATCAATTTGTATGACTGATTTTGTTGCAGTTGACATAGAATCCCTTGAAATAACACAAACAGTAACAAATGACTGTTATTCCAAAATACCAAATTTTCAATATAAAATTTCTGCATTCGATTTAAAATCGATTTGTTATGTCAGCGACTCTCTATTCTTCATACATAAAAACGGACATAACATCACTTGTTGTGGGCAGTGGCTAACAGTGACTGGCCCAAGTCAAAGCAGTGTCACTTGTATGGTAGTGGGCTCTTTGCTATTGACCCACCAAAACCCATTTATTGGTAACATCAAAATGAATTTTGTGGGGCTTAAACATAAATTATTTCTTGTTGGAACTGCGCGCTTAATATATGTGAAGGATTCGATGTATCAAGCCACAGTATCAATAGCTGATTATTTGCATCAAATCACACCAAGTTTAATAGTACTTAATGTGACTCAAAATGAAGTATTTGTTCAGTTATTTAATTTGAATAGACCAGTCGAATTAATTGAAATGAGTTATACAACTTATGTCAAAAACGAAGACGACACTTTTACTTTGAAACGTCCTCTTAATAGTTCACACATTAAGATGGTTTCCATATATTCAGAAAAAGTTAATATGCCATTGGTAATAGAAAAAGAAGGGTACATTTCTACGGCAACTACTTCTTTTCAACATTATAACATGACTAAGTGTAAATTTATTGCAGATTCTGTAGTATATTCAAAAGGTCATTTTGTCACGAATCTACTGTTAATATGGTTCCCAATTAAAATTAACAATTTTCAAGCATATATGCTTGATATGGCCAACCCTCAAATTATTACTCAAAAAGGCGATAGAACAATACAACTGGCTTTCATTTACGGCTCATCATTTTTCATGTCACAGGATTTTAGGCAATTAAAGTGTCAATTAGAGGTAAATTTTACTATTGAAATTGTTGATGTTAAACTAATTCTAATAACAGATTTAATGAATGATCCTGTTAATAATGGAAGACATATCATAAGAAATAACATGACATATAAGTATACACAAGACAATACCACTGTTTCACTCTTTATTGCGATGGATAAGAGTTGCAAAGAACTTTCAAATGTGGTTGAAATTAGTTATAAAAGTGCACCTGGAGATATTCTCACACTAAAATATTCATCATTTGACTGTGTCAATGAAATACAAAGTATACATCAGTGCGATCAGCGTTCGTTTGATTGTGATAATACCGAGTGTACTGTCGACATTGATGCAGTTGATGTTGGGATAAGAAAATGGGCAAAGGGGTGTGAGCCGACGTGTGGCAGTTGTAATGATGGATTTGTATGTACTACAATGGGTAAGTGTATAGAAGAAAACAATAAAAACAAAAGAAACAAAACAGCTAGCACCTTTGTATTATGCGTTTTCATGTTGTTATTCATTTTATAATTTAATAATTATTTGTTTATTAACACTTTCATAACCCAAAACTTTTGAATTGGTTTAATAATAATAATAGTTTTATTTTTTATTATTTTAAAATTTTAAAATTTTGTTATTTATAAATTTTGATTAAATATTTCACCTCCAGTAAAAGATAAAAAAATACTTGTGTTCTTTTTTATTATTGTAATATGAAAATTGAATTGTAAAGTAATTTATTAATTAACTAAAGTGTTTTCTCTACAATTATTGGACTAATTGAATTACAACAATTTAAAAAATTGCACGAAACATTTAAAAATTATAATTTCATATCAGGTCAGTACTAAACCCCTATAGTTTTTTAAAACCCCTCAAGTCGTCAGTTGATTGGTTGAAACCACAAAAAAAATATTTTATATTTAGAAACCACATTTTCGGATAAAGAATGTAAGCCAACTCCACAAACTTGTTGTTGAAACTTGTTCTCCGATGTCACTTCTTACGGTTTTACAGACGCGACTTGTTACGATCATGTCTTGAATATTTCTAAACAAATGTATTTTTATGGTTTTTATTTTTATATTTTGTAATTGTTTTTGTTATACAACACTTTTTTTGTCCAATTATATATCGTAATTGTTTGGGATAATGTCTTAATTAATTACTTTGAAGCTTGAGGGGTTTAAGACATATTGATGGGTTTTTACAATACATGTATTTATAAAGTATTTATTTATTTTACTTGATTCCAAATTTTAAAATATATTTTGTCTATATTTTCTTGTTAAATGAAAAATGTTTTTAAACGAACTTTAAATAACTTTAAAAAATTAATGATTTTTTGAACTAAAAAATAAAAGTAATAATGTCTCATCTTGATGGATTTTATATCATGATAGTATGTAAGTACTTAAATACATTTTCTGATCTCGTTAACATTGAAATGGTTTGCACCAAATATCAAAACACAATTGCGAAATTTCACTTTAACCCAATTCCACTCGTTGAAAACACACTGAAATATTTCACTCATCTTGAAACATTTCATTTATATTCAAAAGACGATTATACTTTCCCCAATTTATCATTTTACGCCCGTATTAATCATTTCTTTACTTTTAATGTTGTCACACTTACAGGTAGATACTATAATATCACTTTAAATAAAAATGCAACAGTTTTAGATGTAAAAACAGAAATAGAAATTTTAGATGGACAACCATCTCTTTCTCAAACAATGTTTTTCAAAGGGAAATATATTCAAAACGAACAAAAATTATATGAAATTGGGATATTTGATGGGTGTAAAATTTATCTTGTTTTATTATTAAAAAAGTTTGAACGATAATTAATTTTTTGAATTGTTTTGTACGTGAATTGCTAAATAACTAAAGAGAAAGGACGGACATGGCGACGAAAAAAGGAAAATTGGCCAAAGGACTTCCTTTGTGATTTAGGGACGTCCTCCTGTGTTTAAAGACGTCCTTTCTATTATTTTTGTTTCTGCCGCGTTTCTAAAACTATATATAGAGTTATAATATTACCATGATTTTACTATTAAAAATATAATTATCACCAAAAATACATTTAATCACAAACAAACACTAAATTATAAGTAATTTTATTATAAATTAATGGTTTTAAAAATTAATTAAAATTTGACATTCACAAAAAAACGTCGAAACGTTAATATATATAATACCCGAGTTGTTATATGAACAGATATACTTGATATTAGTGGTATTTATCCACTTGTAATAACTGTTTTTTTTTGAAATGTTTACATAAAAATGAAATTAAAAAACATAAAATATGATTTCAAAATACCCAAATCAATTTATCATGAAAAGCGACCAAATGAAAAGTTTTGTAGTGATAGAAATAATAATTACGTCAGAAAACATAAGTACAAAAACGTAAAGAAATAATAACAAATAATAAAAATATTGATTTCATACATAAGATGTTAATTATAAAAATAATATATATAAATTAATATGTTATTAAAATTAAATATTCATAGTTTATAAAATATTTTTTTAAATATAAAAGTTTGTAATGATAATTAAAAAAAATTGGAAAAAAATACCAAAACATATCTTAGCTAAACAAATGAAAAACATTGGTACATATGAGGAATTAAATGCTTGACAAAACTGAAATACATGGCAAATTATAAAAAATGATACTTTAATGAAGTTATTCTATTAAATTAATAATTGTTCACACGTTTTTGACAATACAAACTTTATTCTTAATAAATAATAATTTTAACATAATAATTTATATTAATTATAAATAAATATTGTAAAATGAACTTTAACGTGTGATCAATTATTTACCAATTGTTTTTCAAATATAAAAAATGTAAATAGATAAATAATAGTATTAAACAAAATTATAATAATAACTATAAAAAACAAAATGAATGGTGATAAAGTTGTTAAAAAGGTTGTAGTTTTGGTTGGCGACACAAATACTGGTAAAACAGTGACACTCTCGAAAATTCAAGGTGATATTAACCCAAACACGATTCATACCATTGGTATAGCATTTGCAGTTTGTTTAACATTTTCGTAAATAAGTTAATTAAGCGTTAGACAAAATACTTCTATTTAGACAGAATGTTTATAAAATCGCAATTTTGGGATACAGGTTTGTCTTCTAAAATTTACATTAAATTTATATACTTTATATAAATGTTAATTTATAATATATCATACAATATTATATTACAAAACATTGATTATTGGTTTTAATTCAATTTTAACTTATTGTATCAGTAAATATAATATAATTATAATTATATTATAGTATCAAAAATTATTTGATAATATTACATATTAATTTGTTGTTTTTATAAATAATGATTTTAAAAATTAAGACAATTTATAATAATAATATTATAATTGTAATTATGTATCAATTGTATAATTCATCATTTTTTGCAAATCATTTAATATTAAATAAAAAATGTTGTTTATTTCTAATTAATGAATTTTAACAACAATAAATATTTAACAAAATAGATGGATCTGAAAATAATCGACATTTTTTGCCAGCTTTATGTCGGTTTGTTAAACTGTAATAAATAATAAACAAAAATCAATGATTTTGTAGTAATAATGATTATACTGTTTTTATTGTAAATTATATTTTAATATATTTTTCTAAACGTTGATTTTCACTGAATTTTTTATAACAGTTTTATTTAAATAAATGTTAAATTTAATTGCATTTTTAATATTTCGATTATAATATGACTTATACATATATTATATTTATAATTTAAAATATTAGTAATTTCAATGATTTTTTTCCATTCAATAACATCATTAAAAAAATGTTATAATATAATTACTGAAATTTATATTATTTTTGATTTTTTAAGACATATACTTATTTATAAAGCAATAACAAAAAGAAACGCAAACGCAAACGCTATTATTTTCTTTTATTCTGTAAATAAAAAGGAGACATTTGAACTTCTTGAGCATCTTGTAAATGAAATCAAATTGAATATTCATGATAAAGATAACGTTAATATCGTGAAATTCATTATTTGTGGTACACGAAACGATCTTATAAGTCAAAGAGTTGTTTCGAAAATCAAAGCAGTAAATTTTGCAAAACAAAATGGATGTGTCTATGTTGAAATAGGAGAACAAGTCAATCCATTAACAAATGTGTTAATCGAAGAAGTGTTTAATTTATATAACCAAAATTCAAACGATGAACCAAAAATTCTTACAGCAGCTGAAAGAGATAAGGAAATGTGTCCCATTTTTTAATCTTTATTTTTTACTGTTTATTTTATAGAATATCGAAAGGTGTTCAAAAATACAAATAATTTTGATTGTACAATTGACCAAATAAAATCAAAGACCAAATATAAGTAGGAAGTAAAATAAATAGTTTTAAAACCTTAATAAAGAACTGTTTAAAAATGGATTTAAGTGTTTTATTTGGTGTATTTTTTACGCTTTTTTCCAACCCGTTATTTACAAATTAACCATTGGGAAATACATTCTTCTGATAATTACTTTGTCAGCTGTAGTAAATATATATATATTAATCGTTATTTGTTAATTAAATTGTTATTTTGTTTTACAAATTTTTAGAAACTATATTCATATAATAATGGCACCATTTGAGTTTGTAAAATAAAGAAATTTTATTACTGTTGTATTTAACAACAAGTTAATGTTCAAATTTATTGGTTTTCCATTATATGTTTAAATATAAGTTTTTAAGTAAAAAAAATCAAACCATTTTAATTGTAGAAAGGAGGAACTGGTAAAAATAATAAAAATTATAAGATTTGAATTTACATCCATTTTTTAATTATGAAAAAACAGATACTGATTAAATTTGATTAACATAAAATTCAAATATTTAATGTTAATAATATTTTATCAACAATTAATATAATAATTTTTGACAAAAAATCAATTATAACCAAACTAACTTTTGGTTTTTTGTCGAAACAAATTTCGTTGTGGTTTAAAACAAAACCCACACCAACTTTAGACAAGTTGATTCGAAAAACTCAAGAAAATACAACAAAAGACCGGGGATAGAATCTGTTTGACAGTTATTAAAAAGAGGTATTCCAAGTACTTTGATTGGAAAAAGGAATACCAGGTTCATCTAAATTATCAAGAAAAGTTAAACATCAAGGCACGGAAGATTACTTAAACCAAATGATCAATACTACTAAACAATATAATAACCCTGTTACATATGAAGTAATCAAATCTTTTGCCAATGGTTACGGTATTAAAAAAGGATACATAGACTTAAATTTTTCTAATGGTTGGATCACAGGATTTTGTTCGAGACACAATTTAAAATCCAAAAAGTTAGTGGAGAAAGTAATTCAGTAAATCCACAAAATTTTGAAACATAAATAGAATATCTGGTAGAAATCATTGCACAATACCAATCAGATAACGTTTACAACGCAGATGAAACTGGTAAAATTCATGAACCAAGGTGGATTAACAAACCAGAGTATCAAACCATAAAAAAGTATTACAGCGCACAAGAAAACGCTTGGATGGACACTGAACATTTCCATGATTGGTTAATTGAATGGGAAGATAGACTTGCTTTGAGTGGCCGATGTATTCTACTTTTTGTAGACAAAGCTCCTAGTCATAAATTAACTTTGAGTTAATTCATCAATATAATAATTCAGTAAATTTATAATTTACTGAATTATTATAATTATAATTTAATAATTTAAAACTCAAATATTATTTTATTTATTTTGTTAAAATTTGTTTTTGGATTTAAAAACTGTAATATTAAAACATAATTATGTATTTGTAAAGATAATAATTTTTTATCTCATTTAATAAATCACATTATTCTTTTTTGATATAACTTTAAAAATAATTTAATATTAATTGTATTATGATGGTTAAATTAATAAAAATACAATTTATCAAAGTTGTTTTATTATCAACAATTTAAATAAACAAAAACAATACAAAGTCTTTGTCACAGTTTTTTATTAATTATAATTATTAAAATTTTCATAAACAACTTTACAACGTTAATTATAATTTATTTAAGCTTTACAAGTTTTTTCTTATAAAAACATTGGTTAATTTTCTCAAATATACTTGATATGTATTTTATTCAATAACATACTATTACAATGCACTTTTAAATTAAATTTCAATTTAACAATAGATCATCAAAATAAAAAACACGTAATTGTATAATAAAAAACAAAATATCATTAATTTAAAAAAATATTGATGAATATTCAATAAAAAAGATGAATGAGTATGTGTTTTTCACTTGATCTGTTTTGTTTTTAATCCCAGTTCCGATAAACTAAGATCTAACATATTCATTGGCATTTTAAATCCCCATAAACTCGAGCACATGTCAAAGCACATTTTATTCAAAAATTTTAAATTTTCTCCAAATTCGATATAGTTCAAATTAACGCATTTTGAAAAGCAATACTCACCAATACTAATTATATTTTCCAAATGTTTAATTGTTTCCAATTTTTGACAACAAGAAAAACAGTAATCCGGAATACATTTCACATTGTCGTTGAATGTAATTTTACTCAAATTTGTGCACCCCTCAAAACAATTGTTTCCAATTTGTTCGACATTTTCTGGAATATCAAAATTGGTAATAGAAAGACATCCACCAAAACATTTATTATAAAATTCAGTGACTGTATATGGTATGCTAATATCAGAAAGAGAAGAACAATTATTAAAACAACTTTTTGGTAAAAATTTAATACCTTCTGGAATATAAATTTCACTGAGTGAACAACACCCTTCAAAGCAACTTTCCCCAATTAAAGAAACATTGAATGGTATTTCTATATTTGACAATGAAAAACAATACTCAAACATAAATGGAGGTAAACTGGTTAACGACGTTGAAAGGGTTATCGTCTTTAAAGAAGTGCAACTTTTAAACGCCGAACTTTGAATAAAAGTGACTGTGTCTGGGATATCAATCGAAGGTAATAACGAACAACATTCGAAACTACTTTCTCCAATAAATTGAAGGCTATCATTTAATTGAATTATACTCAACGTAGAACAATCATAAAAACACTTCATTCCAATTCGTTTGACTTTTTGTGGAATTTTTATTTTATGTAAATTTACACAACTTCGAAAAAGTGAATCGCTCAATACATCTAAACGAGTTGATAAAGTCACTGCACTCAAACTTTCACAATTTTCAAAAGCCGAAATACCAAGGTTGCTCAGTGTATTTGGCAATGACACACTTTTCAAGGAATCGCAGTTCGAAAATCCATTAACTCCAATTGATTTCAAATGCTTTGGGAATGTGATTGAAGACAATTTGCGACAATACTCAAACACGTAATTGCATATAGACGTGAGGCGACTTGGAAATTCGATTTCTTTGAAAGTACACGAATCAAAAGCAGCATCGTCAATTGTTCTGAGTGACTTTGGTAATACTATCGTCTGTAATAAATTGCAACGCGAAAATGAGTGAACCCCAATACAAGTCACACTGATTGGAATATGAATTGAAGTCATAGTCGTGTCATTTGAAAAACAGTTTAACCCAATATTGGTGATAAGTTCAGTCATTGGTAGTTTGAGTTGGTTGTCTGTCTGTGTGTATACCACATTTTTAAAAACAATTTTATTCATTTTCTTTTGTTGCGAATTTGTGGAAGTCGAAAACTTATTGTCGGAATACATTTTGAGTGTGTCTGTGACTGTCTTGTAATCAATTTCTTCGCAAACAACAATTTGGAAATAATTTTTAAAAAACACAGAATTCATTTTTGAAAAATTCAGATAATTGTTATTATTTGGTATAAAAAGCCAGAGAATTAAAGTCTCTAAATGGTCGAAATATTTTATTGTTTTCAATGTCAAAGGTACCGGATTGTAATGAAACTTACTGAGTGTTTCTGAATATTTCTTGCAAACCATTGAAAGCGAAATAAGGTCGTTAATTGTTGTAAAATATTTTGCAACAACCATGATGTGAAATCCGTCTAATTGCTTCATGTCGTTTAATGTTATTGAATAAATCTCAAATTTTTTTATTTTAGGCAATCAAAAAAATCAAAAATCTGTTTTTGACTATATTTTTTAAATAATATAATCTACAAAATTGTTTTAAATCTGACAATTAAATTATTTTTTTGGCAAAGATCTCAACAAATAGACCAACTTATCAGTACACACGATCACATATACATTATATTACATACTTAAATTTGTTGAGTAACAATGTAGTTTATTATTTACATTATAACATTAACATATATGTTGTTGTTTGTTTTAATATTGTTATAATTTCAAAACATTAGTTTTAGTTTATTAATTATTTAAAAAATTATTTTAGAAGAACAAATGACTACTAAACTTTATCAACTTATAAAAACATTATTATACAAAAAAATAAAATATAAACCAAAAATTAAATAATGAATATATTAAATTATTGAAGTACCAAACAGCAATTCCCCATCATTGTCACAAGTCACACAAATTAATATACTTTTAATTGTACCTTTTAATACAATTTCTTGAGTTGTGTTATTTTTTATGTTAAACACTTTTCCGTTTTTTGTAATAACAACAATACTACAATTATGAACAACACATGAAGAAATAATGTTCTTAATATCAACAAAAGTTTTTTCGTTAGTTGTAATACAAATAATTTGAACACCAATTTGACTGATTAAACACAACAATTGATTGTCTTCATCGTAGAGTGCATCATTTACAATGCCACATTTGACATCACAAATATCTTTTAATTTGTCAATTTTGTCGTTTAATGCTCCTGTCACTTTGTACATCATTTCAGTTACTTTTCCATTGTCACAAACAACATAAAACTTTTTATTTTCCATACGCTCTGCTTTTTCAAAAAGAACTTTGACGATTTTTGTTCCAAAATTAATTGGACAGATGAGACGCCTAAAACGATGGTCTACTTGGAAAATGCAAATTTCCACATTCATTTGCAACAAGTATTAAATTATTGTCACTTGGAAACATTTCTATAATTATTGCATTTTTAAAACGCCCAGAAATGTCCATATTTACCATGGTTTCAAATATCGAAGTCGTTCTATATAGTGTTAATTTGTTGTTCAAAACGATTACAGTGTAATTTCCAGTCGTTGTATATTTAAGTTTCTCTCTTGTATTGTCTTTTTGTACGTTAAAAAAGCTGTGACAACATCGAAAAGTGTATTTAAAGTCATTGATATTATAAATTGATATTTGAAATTCGTCACTCACATACATTGTTTTTGTTTGAGTGGTTTGTGTTAAAACCATTTTATTCACATCACAAAAAGTTCGACAGTTTTTAATCACTTCAATTTCATTGTATTCATCTTTTTTCATTGTTTTTGAATTAAAATTAACCGTTTGATACACTTCGCCTCGACATTGATCGATACGCTTTTCTTTTGAGTAATAATCGACCGCATTTATGTCACTAACCGATGGTAAAATTTTTATATATTCATACCATTTGTTGTTTAATACTAACTTTTTACATAACACATTTTGTTTTACATCAATCTTTGCGTTTTCAATTTGCAATTTCCCAATTACGTTTGCGTTGATCGTCACATCTACAGTGTTGACTAAAGTCATGTCTGTATTTTCCGAATTATCAGGTAAGTTTATTATAAGATTCTCAATATTTTTAAACAATATATGTTGGCGTTTTTCTGAGTTAAAAATGAACATTGAATTTGATATCATGTCCGCTTCAAATTTTTCAAAACATTTTGAAAATGTCATTTTAGTTTTGGTGACGTTACACAATGTCACACATTTTACATTTTCATTTGTTAAAAAATCATATTTAAAACATGATAGAGATGTGATTTTGATCGATTTACATTTTGCAAAATCAAAATGAAAAGGTGTAATTTTAATATCATGTACTTCTTTTTGTTGTTTTTTAAGTTGTTTTGGCAATTTATCACCTCTT